CAGACACGAAGTGGCAAAGTCGCAAAGTCGAAGTCTTGGATTTCTGAACACAATGTCGAGGCAAGTCACACCGAAGCACAAGCACTGAGGCCGCAAACTGAATGCCCGTACTGGGCTTGGGTCTGATCTTAAGTATCGGACTCAAGTTCAGTCCGATCGGCAGAAGTGCAATTTGCCCAGGGCTGAACTGAAAATCGAAAGTTTGAAAAATGGGCACCAGAAAGACGGATGGCGCCAAGTGTCCGAAATCAGAAAAATAAAACAAAGAGAAAAATAAAAATAAGAAAACAAAGAAAAGAAAATGTGTGCAGTGAACTGCGGGTAGCGTCCCGCAGACCAGGGATCGAGCCCTGGTGTAGTCCGTAACACTTACTGTGAGAACAAGGATCTTCTGCCGACGGACCACAAATTCTGACCTGAAGTGTTGTCGGATAGCGGACAGGGAGCAGCCAGAGCACGCAAACTCCTACTTCTCCTACAGCCACACCCGACCCATATTGAACATCCAAAATATTTGGCAGCTGCAGCCAGCCAAAACTACGGTTTAAAGATCCTCACAACCTGGCCCAGCTGCAGCTGGGCCCAATTTGAGCGTACAAACCCGGGCCCGCCCGAGTCCAGACCTTGAAGAAGAATTGCAGCCGGACCTTCCCACACCCAGACATAGTTTTCACCACCTGCCCCCACCCAGGCCCTAGAGCACAATCCCACCCGCACCCGCCCATAGCTGGTATTTTTTCACTACCTTCACCCGCCTGTACCCGCCCGTACCCGCCATTGCTTTTCCAAGTTTTCAACACCCTACCCACCCATACTCAGCCTGACCATTCGCACCTATACAATTGGTGGCCCTGGCAATGTAGAACCCTTGATCAACCATTGGAACTTGAGAACAACTAGGTACATGAATGACAAGTATCGAGACAACTGCACATGCCACGTATGAGTGGGAGAAAAAGAAGTCATGAGAGAAAATTCAAAGCATATCGAGGTCACACCTCCTCCAAACTGGTGGCCTGTTAAAAAAAAAAAAAAGTCATGAAAAATAGGGGCCGGTACCCCTATAGACATATGTGCATGGGTGTAGACCCCCACATGCATACATGCATATCTCTTTCGAGGGTGACCCGTGCCAAGTCTAGACCCGGCCACACCTGGCCATTTGTTTACAAGGCCACCCGCAACTGGCCTGTTTTTTACCACCACAATTGCCCCCAACCCGCCCCCAACCCGGCTCAGGGCCATCCTCCCATCACCTGGCCACACCTGGCCAGGTGGGACATGGGGTAGCCAGACCTGCCTGCAGCTGTCGAGTCCGGCAGCAAACTGTCGGTCCAAACTGCTGACAAGAATATGTCTCCAAACCCCTGACAATAATGGCATGCGTGTTTTGAATTTTCACCACAACAGGCCCTACTCCACACAGATGAGTAGATCCAAAATCAAAGCAGCAAAAACATTTAGTCCCATTGCAGACAACGAAACCATTTGAGCTGAGGCAATCTAACAATGAAACAGTTTTACCTCTATAGCAAGCAACACATGGAGCATAACAGAAGCATTTAGATCCCTTTCTTAACTCTGTTCACTTTGGCCTTCTTTTGGGTACCCCTTTCATCTGTTCTTGCACCTCCCCTTTTACCGTGCCTCTCATGTACACGGCTCACCACATTGATTGTGGTTGAGCACGAGCTGCCCACATCCCTGTGTGTCATAACAGCCCACACTTGCACACTGTTGAAGGAGGCAGCGTAAAGGAGGAGGTATATTCCTGTTCATTTTTCGTCAGACCTTCAGCTTATATTTGGTCTGTTCTCTTAATGATGCTCATGTGTGTCTGTTTTTGTCTGTGCGCCTAGCAAAAATAATACAACAGATTGAGATCGAAATTTGAAGGACTTGGTGCGAGAAGGTTCTAGTCTGGATCCACAAGCAAGTAGTCCACAATGAGATTTCCTTTTGATTCAACAGTTCGAGAGCACGCGTTCTACCACTGCTGATCATCTTGCAAGATCGAGAGCACCTGCTCTACCACTGCTATTCAACAGTCTCTCTCCGCCCTTCTTCACGAGAGTGTGCACATAGTAAGCCTTGACCACCTCACGTACATGGACATCCATCCACTCTCTCTCTCTATAATGTCTAGCACAGAACCCAACTGATGCAGACACATTTGCCTCTGTGGAACGCCTCTTACTGCCAATTGATTGGAGGATCGCACCTAAGGCTTGACAATCCCTAGCAATGAAAAGGCAATTGTATGCATTCAAGTCTTTTCGTGGTTGGTTGTAACGTACCGTTGTTGAGTACCATGACGCGATCAGAGTCTATCACAGTTGGTATTCTGTGTGCAATGCTGATGATTGTACACTCAGAGAACTCCTTGCGAATCACTCGTTGTATGACCGCATCTGTTGCCGAATCTATGGATGCTGTCGCCTCATCAAGAACAAGGATCTTGCACTGCGCAAGCAAAGCTCGCCCCAAACTGAACAACTGCCGCTGCCCCACGCTCCAGTTCCCGCCATACTCTGTCACTACAGTGTTCAACAGGATCATAGCAGGAGTGAGTGAACCACCAGAATAGAGTTAGGTTGCACACACAAAAAACAACTGAGATCTAGTTACAATAACAACAATGGAGGGACTTGTCTGAAGCTGCTGCTTTTTTTTCCCTTTTATGTTCGTGCTGATATGTTTCTTATCACTTACGGGGTCGGCCCTGACAGACCCTTTGATCGTTATCGTTCCAGACAGGATATGGACTCTTACAACTTACAAGTCTTCGGCCGGTACCATTTCCCATTACATGGTATGCACTACTATGCAGGGTCATCCTATCTGTATATGACCTGACATTCGGCCGAATACAGCTTAGATTCCTAGAGTAGCCGTAAGGTCCTGTTTCATTCCCCCCCCCCAAAAAAAAAAAAAAAAAGATTCCTAGAGTAACCTTACTCTGTGGTCGTTATTGTATTCATTATTGACTTGCCGCCGTTGCCGGGGGAATAGAACCGGACCGTCGCTCCCCAGAATGGTACTATCCAGAACTGAGTGGTTCTGCTTTTTTTTTTTTTTTTTTAACCTTACTCTGNGGAAGATGGTAGGCAGGTAGAACAGGTAGAACTTTTGGGCAGTTACAGAAGAGACTTTTTAAGAACTTTTATCATCAATCCCTTCCCCCCCCCCCCCCCCCCCCTTCGCTCATAACATACATATTTGAAATGACAGGGCAGAATTAGCCTCCCTCGACGATGACGAGGCCAACAGTGGAAACAGGCTTCATGAGAAATGACGGGGAAGAATTAGCCTCCCTCGACGATGACGAGGCCAACAGAGGAAACGGGCTTCATGAGAGCACATCCTAGAACGGCGACTAACTTATTAGGGTATAGAAAAGAAGGAAATAGTGAATCAATCGGGATGAGTACTTGAGATGTTGTGGACATCCAATGCTTTTTGTTCTACCTCTGAAATGGTCTAGAATGTCCAGACGCAGGGCAACAAAAATTGAGAATTGTCCGTATGTTTTTTTTTAATATAAACATTAACAACTCAAGGCGGTACATATACAATTGGCAATAATGTTCAAAGTTCGAACTTCGAACCGTCCTTTTTGCGCTACCCTCTGCCCCCCCCCTGCCATGCCTTTGCCTCCATCCTCTCCTCCCATGTGTCACCCAGCTGTTGCCCCTCCGTGCTTTGCCTCAATCAATTGTCTTTTTATTACTAAACCTACTATTTGTTTTGAAGCCTTCTATCTTGAATGGCATAAACACAGTTAGCACAATGATAAAAGCACGTGTTTTATATTTGCAGGCTTCTTACCTGCTGAGTCAAGTTTTTCATCCTTTTTCCTGATCAGATCCGCAAGGGTACACTTCTCCAAGGCCTGCACACAATGGATCCAAGGTACAAACTGTCAGTCCAGTTGATGAAGTTGAGCCAATCATTAACGAATTGCATGCAAGTTCTATGGCCTTGTGTTGGAAAGGAGGGGACATGTGAGTCCCAGAGAACGGCAAGAAGACTCGATTCTCGAGCTTAAACCACCAGAACCTCTCCCAGCTATTTGTTCCGACACTGCCGCATGCGCACCGCACTGTCAGGGATTGGCGGTGCTAGCCATTTCTTTTTAAATTCTGCGCCCGTGCCAATTCAATGAAACCTGGCGCTGGGTGGAAGTCGGCATTGGGAAGAGAGGCTCGGAAGTACTGGGTGGCTACTGTGCTGAACGATTGAAAATTTGACAACAAAATGGGGGATGGGCCTGGATTTTCGAAAATGGGTTGGGAACTTGGAGTCTGCAAGCAAGGAGGCCCAAGATGAGACAGCAAACACATACAAAAAAAAGACAGCCCCCAGAAGAACAAAGACTCAGAAAGCCTGAGGCTGCGATCCTCTACCCACTGATAGAAGATGCACTTCTGACTCTACCCTCAAGCTTTAACAGGGGGCCCTCAAGCTTTGAATGGGGCCCAACCCTTGGTCGAATGGCTGAGATCCTACCCCGAATGGCCAAATATGAATGGGAAAAAGAGTTGGCTATTCTAGTGGCATGGCTCAAACACTTTGAAAAGACGAGCAAAAACCCGGATCAGCAAAGGCAACAGCCACAGGAATTCCGCCAGCAATAAACCCCTTTGAGATTGTCCGACAAAAGAGCAAGCTGTCTGCTTTCACTGCCTTTCAGTGCATTCAGGTACTACAAAAAGACGTGGGAGAGACAGCTGTCCAAGCTAGAAGACCAGGAGGACTCAGAGCAAACAAGAGATGGTGTCAGGGAAATCGCCCCAAAGAGGTGGAAATCTGCTGCGAGCGAGGAAAAGAGAACCAAAAGGATCTTGTGGCCCTGGCTCCATAGCCATTCTGGGGTGCGTCATTCCAGTTACCAGCCCACCAGCAAGTCGACAGATTACAAGGTGTACTCACTCAGACGCCTCTCTCTATTATGATTGAGAGAAGAGAGTGGGCGGCATTGATTACTTCAAAGAGGAGGACACGCCACCCGGTCCACCCCTCACCCCTGCCTAATTTAGCCTCTCAGCTTTACTTACACTGGCTAGCTAGTGTTCCTCTAGTGATCAATAGAACACTCATTCTCCGTCTCCCCCACGCGTGTCTTTTATCCGTTCCCTCTGTCGGATATGCCTATGTCTACTGGAAGAGCTTCATTACTCACCCCAAGGCATGGAACTGCGGCTATTTTCTGCTCCCTCCTGTGATCTCACTTGTTTGCCGTTGGAGGCGGTACAACTCGCATCAACTTCTAGAAAGTTTTGTGAGCGTTTCTTACAAGCCATACTGTCTCGTCTATTCATCATACTGTGTCCTCTATTCTGTTTCCTGCCCCACTCTCCCTGGGACTTGAAGAGCTGTTTAGTGGTTGGATCGGGGTACTATTAAGCTGTTGTGTGTCACTGGCTTGTATGACTAGCCAGGCCTGTAATAACAATCTCTCTGTTGCTATGGAACCAGACTTGTCCTTCCCTAATCTTAACTTTTCAAATCTCCTGATGATGTCCTCGCTTTTATCTGGGGCTTCATCTATCTGTTTTTTGATACGGCTCCATAGGGCGTGCTGCTACGCTGTTGCCTTCCTTGAATGTGAAGTTACATCATATGTTCAAGAGTGCCCATATTGTGCCCTTTCTGAGGAAAGAGAAGAGGAACTGATCAAAGCGAAGTGAGGTGTCTAGCCAACACGGCAAACGGACCAAGTTTACTGAGGGGGGGTAGACTATTTTTCCAAGGACTTCAGGACTTCGCGTCGTACACGGCAGGACGAACAAAAAAAGCGGTAATCGCAGGATGCTTGCACAGAATCTAGAATCATACATTGGACAAGGGGGCGGCCGGTCCAACTCTGTTAGGATTAAAAATGGAGCTGCGGAGGAGGGGGTTCCCAGCTCGGATATTCGACTCAGGGGTTCTATAATTTTTGCGGCAAAAAGGCGGGGAATGGGATGAATGGTCTAAAGTATTGTGTGGATGGGAGGGACACTAGATCGAAGGAATGCTTTTCAAATTTTGGCGGTACAGTGTCAATTTTGCACAGTAGGATTTCTTAAAACGTTTTGACGTAATAAGAAAAATGTGCAGGTTGGGTACAGATGCGGGCCTGCTGATACCTCCAGATGGAGGAAGCAAACGGGACCCACAAAAACGAATTTCGAAATTGAGCCGGGGTTCTTCCGTTTTCGTTTTGGCGGGCTGAAGGCGGAAGCGGGAACTGGGGACTTCGAAATAGAAAAACGCAGCGACAAGTAGGATTACGAACAATATTTAAGAAATACAACTGGACTTTGGAACTCACCTTTCGCAGTCTAGGATCCCCCTGATGACGCCGGCCTGGCGCCAACAGAAACTAGTCGGGGAAATCGCCAGGATGTGGGCAGCGGGATGCCTTGCTCCCATCAACGGCTGTTCCTCACGAAGTGCTCCGGCGTTATTTTGAGAGTCTGTTTACGTGCTTCATGTCAGGGCGCCTGGTGTTGGATGGGTTCCATATTTATTTTCATTCAACACAACGGAAGGTTTCTATTGTCTATGGTGTTCTATTTCTTCTCTCGATGATGTTGAGTGTATGATACCTGGGAAGTGCAGCTTCACTACCTTTTGCTCTTATCTGTGTCTCGCCTCGGCGTGACCAGAGCTGGAACACGAACTGACCGGGCAACTGGTCTCTCGTCTGTTCAAGCTGATCAAAGCCTGTGAGGACGGGGACAGTTGCTTTTCTAAAAAGACCGTCTCCGGGTTGATCATTACGGTTTTGTCTGACCATTACATTTCTGTCTGATAGGTTGTTCCACTGCCTTCCTCGCTGTCCCCTTGTGGAATTTTTGAACATTGCTGATTTCTGGTTCTGGTCTGGAAGGATTTACCCCCTTGGATTTTGTGAAATTGTCCTCCCTTTCCCCCGGTTCCCCCAGTTCTTTTCTTTCCTGCCTATCCACTTCAAGTCGATGAAAAATCATGAAACTGTCCTCCTGCTTCTCCTCTTCGAGCCGTTGTCCTCTTCGAGGACGAATTGCCAGTCTGTCCTTGGCCTTTCTCGTACCACATGACTCAACTCCAGCAGTCCTTTGCCTGCAAATATCCTCACTCCCGTGTTCCCCTCTGATCCTGCACTTCCTCTTTCCACTGACGGATGTCAGATGCTGGTTAGCTTCCTTTCTGTTGTTTCTTGCCCACCCTTCTGAAGCTTCCCTCCCTTGTGCAACGTACGGGGAAATCAGCCTGTGCAACTCTACGCATTCAGGTTGCCTCTTTGTTTCCCACCATAGGATTGAATCCCTTACCCGTACCACTACTTGATGATGCACCCTTGCCTTTTGCCGTCTTTGATATTCCCTTTCCCTCCAGGCCCTTCCCTATTCTGGGGCCTATTTTCTGTAATCATCGCGCGTCCTTCATTCCTTCCACCTAAACCACAGTGTTTTCCCGATCAGGGAAGTTCTTGCCCACCCTGCTTTGTGGGGTTTCAAGACCTGCTTGTCCTCTCTATTCCAGTGCCGCTTGTTTCTATCATTTGCTTCCGCCCTCCTTTGTCCTTCTCTCGTCGCAGCACGTCCAAAAGGCCGTACTTCCCCTGATGTTGCCGTCCTGTGCTTTCTCACCCCGATCTTACACGCCCTGTGCAGGCCACGTGGCACTGCCATGCGCCAGTGCTCCCCACCCTTCTCCATTCCCAACACTCCTATGTGTAAGGGACAGTTAACTCTCCGTCGGCATGCCACTACCTAAGCGTGAAGCAAAAATCGTGACCCGGAGCATAAACTCTACCACCAACACGCTCACCAGCCTGGCGTATGAGCATTCCCTGTTCCCTTTCTTTCCATCGGCCCCCCATTTTCGGGGGTGTGCACTGTGCTGCACTACGTTCGTGCGCATGGGTGCCCATGCGCTGCACAGTGTATGTGCATGCTGCACGCGCACAAAGTGTGCAGCACATATGGTAATATCTGGACTGTACGACTGCTGGCCTTTGGGAACGATGGAATACAAAACAAGGTTCAACCAAAGACACATACGATATCCAGCACCCTTCCAGACATTGGTGTAACCTCCAGTCGGAAAATCTGTTCGCTTGGGAGCGTGGCCCCTCTTCCAGCAAGTCTTGCAAATTTTATTTGATCTTATTTTTGGAGCGTAATTTGCTGGCAGGAGTTTCCAGGTCCACTTTGGAGCATGACCCCTCTTCCAGCAAGTCGGTTTTAGGATTCAACTGCTATGCCCTTCATTTTTTCTGGTTCAAATTTCATTATTGGATTCCTAGCGTTCAATTCAGGAACCTTCAGCACAATTTGACGAGGAGAAACATATTTTGGGTCTGCGACTCTGCGGGTCTTTTGCTCTATTTTTCGAGGACTGCACTCCTTAGTTCTGGGCCAGTGACATTCACATGGTTCTCTGGGCCAGTGACATTCACATGGTTCTGTCCATAGGGGATTGGACCTTTGACCGAAGTTCACATCTGTCAGCATAGTAAGGTTATCTTGTGATGTATTTATGGACAGACGATTCACGCAGTTTTGCCGCCGGGAACTAGGCAGAAGGGACACAGTTTTGCCATTGGTGGTGGCTTGAACACAGATACGCAACCTCCATGGTATGTAACATCTATTGCAATTTGACATTTCATGAAGAAGATTTTTCATCATAACCAAGAGAAGGGGTGTCCAGATTGCTCTTGCATGGAAGTGGTCATCAGACTGCCGACGTAGAGAGAGGAGGGCAAGGAGAGCAAATGCACGGTAACTACATGGTAGGGATGATTTCATTGCTTTTCAACGTCAAACACGGGGGGGAAAGCTTCACTAGGTGGAGCTGTGATGCATACACAGTGTGAAAAAGACAAAGCAACAGCAGATTATGGAAGAAGGAAGGCAAGGTTGGATCGACCAAAGACGATGAAGTGGTGTACATCATCAAGTTATGAACATTACCTGCCACATTTCCGTGTCGGTATGAACTCCCAAGGGATCCAGATTGCTCCGCACAGTTCCCTCAAACATTGTCGCTTCCTGTGCAGGCACAAAGATGAGTTTTTCACCCAACCCAACACAAAATGAAACTATAATAACTTTGCCAGTGGCCAGCAAGATATCCTGCCCATCCACCCTAACCAGCCATATTCCATTCTAGGAGTCAACTGATTGACTGATTTGATTAACTGGCCAGATAGGATGCAAAGAATGGATGGATGAAGGAATGTATTGGTAGAAGGAAAGATGGGTGGATGGGCGGATGGATGGATCGTAACTAGCCATGATCCATAATGAAGCCATTGACCAAGTGATTGACGGATTTGATGGACGGATGGATGGGACAGATGAGGTGGATGACACGGATTTGACAGATGGGATGGGTGGGATGGATAGACGGGTGCAATGGATGGATTGGAGGGATGGGAGAGGTGCGGGGGATGAGAGGGGTGGGAGTGGTGAGGAACACAAGAGGGATGGGAGCAATGGAAGGGATGGATGGGATGGATGGGATGGACGGGATGGAACGCATGGGATGGATGGGATAAATGGGTGCAAATGAATGGATGCGATGGACGGGGTGGATGGGGGGATGGGATGGATGGGGTGGATGGGGTGGATGGGGTGGATGGGATGGATGGATGGATGGATGATTTGTTGCTTGGTTGCTTGGTTGCTTGGTTGATTGGATGATTGGATGATTGGTTGATTGGATAATTGGTTGATTTGATTGATTGGTTGATTATGATTGATTGTGGTGGGATGGATGGGATGGATGGGATGGATGGGCTGGATGGGGTGGATGGGGAGAATGGGATAAATGGGATAAATGGGTGCAAATGAATGGATGGGGTGGATGGGATGGATGGGGTGGATGGGATGGATGGATGGATGGATGGATGGATGGATGATTGGTTGATTGTTGATTGGTTGATTGTTGATGGGTGGATGGGATGGATGGGATGGATGGATGGGACAAAGTTGGCATTTTTAGAGGCCCAGTAGCGGTAGGCTAGGTCTAGGCCGGTACCAGTCCATCCAGCCTGAGTCTACAGCCTGTACGGGCAATATCAGAGTATGCAATGATGTTTCCCTCCGAAAGGGAGGAGGTACCGGTTGCTTGGGAGGCCGAGCGGCCTGGAAGTCACCGCCCAGGAGGCAAGTAGGCTGCTATATCAAGAGGCCGAGGGAAGAGCCCTGCCTCATTCTTCAGTGTGCAAGTTTGGCGACACGCTGCTGGAGCGCTGGCTGGAGCAGCGCTGGGTACTACAGCGCTGCTGGGAGGAAGCCGGGAGCTTCCACCCTGGTGGAGCTCCACTGGTAGGAGGAGGAGGGAGAAGAGGACCAAGGAGGAGAGTGGCGAGGTACCTACCTGGCTATGGCGGACACCATCTTCATCACCTTGATAGGCGCTGCATCTGGAAGGCTCCAGTTGGGGTAGTGCCGCACCAAGGAAGCTCGGGGAAGAGACAGGCATGGCGGCCTAATGAGCAGTGGCGTAGCTGCTTTGCGTTGTCCTTTGCACCGGGAGGCAGCGACATAGCTGCTTTGGGTTGTCCTTTGGACAGGAGGGTTGAGCCCTCAGTTGTTCGCCATAGCCTCAGCCTACCTGTGAGAGGAAGGAGAAGGGTGACCATGGCTATGGTGGACCTCATGTTGTGCCTGCAGTAGAAGAGGGATTCGGACATTGATTCTGGTCCAGCCATTCAACATTATTATTGTTATTTCTTGTTTGAATAAGAGGGGAGGAGATAAGGAGGAGGAGAATGGTTGGCGAAGAAGAAGAGCATTATCTTTGGTCTATGCTGGAGCACATCATCTTCTTCTTCTTTCTTACTTCTTCTTTCCCTCTCTCTCCTCTCAAGTTCATTCATTTCTTTTGCAATTGGACGGCATTGTACTTTCTGATGATTGTATACCTCAAAATTGGTCAGGATCGTAACACTAGAGATATGTTGAAATTCCTCATCTATTGGAAGTATGTGCCTCTATTTGATTAACCAACCGTCAACAAATGTTTTACTAACTCCCCACGAGCCAAACACAGGAAGACATGCACTCACATGGACAAAGCTAACATTTATTAATCAACTTTGGGCGAGAAATACTAGCCACTTGCTTTGCTGCGGATCTGTTATTGGCATACCTGTGGAATAATTGCCAGCTTGGACCTCAAATCCTTCAGACCGATCGATGAGATGTCGATGGTGTCGATTATTATCCGGCCTCCACAAGGTTCAACCAAGCGGAAAAGGCTCTGTATCAGGGTGGATTTGCCGCTTCCTGTCCGTCCAACTACACCCACCTTCTCTCCTCCACCAATGGAGCAAGTAACTCCCTTGAGGACTAAAGGTGACAACAAATGATAGCGAACCTGGTCATCATTTGCCCAGCCAAAGGGGAAAAGAAGGTCAAAGAATGGCCATGATCAGTCAGAGTCGGTCCCTTTTTTTTCTGGTTAAAAGTTTAAAACTTAAAAAGCCAACCCAAGGTCACTCCCTTTTTTCTTTTTTTCTCCTTTTTAATGCAAAAAAGTTGTCAAACAAAAACATAGTCCGAAATGCCCAACAAATTATCAGAAATACACTCTAATATAGGCTACATTGCCGCTACAATATATTGCCACATATCCATCAACTAAAATAGTGCACTTTGCCGAACAAACCAACAAAATAGCAGACAGCATGAAGCACTCTGAAATGAGTCTGAATTTCTGAAACCTGGAAACCGTCATTTTGCCTCTTCCTGTGCGGTTCTTTCCTTTCGTCCGTACTTTGTTATTTTTTTTCACAGCTGATCTTTTATTTCTTCTTTTAGCTTCCCCCCCCGCTTGCGCATAACGCTCACCACACTGATGCAGTTCAGCGTGAACACTGAGCAGTGCCATAAAGCCACTTGCTCTATTCTTGTTTGAAATCAAGAGGGTTGTGGATCCACCAACTGATGTGCAGCTCGTTAGGAGTCATGGACGTTGCAGAGTGAATAGAATTGTTATACATTCCTTTCACCACACCCAACTCTTCAGCCCAAGTGTTCTGATTAGGTACAATCAAGGCACGCAGGGTTTGGGTGATATTTTGATACCCGGTATGCCTGGCTACGAGATCACGTATCAATTCTACTTAAAGATTACGTATCAATGCCTATTGAAGTCTAGGTATAGGTCATGGAGGTAGGATATCAGTTTGCAATGTGCACGGAATATGAACAAGACCGATAGACAGAAATCCGATTTGCAAAATCACGAAGTAGTCCAGATAGTCATGTGCCAAGCAGAGAGCACAATGCGCCAAGATATTATCCAAATAAGCAATACAATGAATTTGTATGCAAATGTCGACGCTCTCTGGCCACACCAACACAGTATCAAATGTTGCTCCTACTGTCTAGCGCCTAGCGCCCAGCGCCCAGTGCCCACTACTCAGCCTATCTACACCTATCGGCGTTCATGCAACTGGATCACATCGAAGTTGCAGACCAATGTACGTGACATCATCACCAATGCAGACCGCCAGCATACACCAGGTACATTCTCTCTCCTCCCTCTCATCACCCCTCGTCTCCCTCTGCATGCGCCTCCTACCCGAAGACCACCATGGCTATCACCTGCTACCGCACGCTCGGCCCGGCTATGGCCACCGTGCACCCACTGCCACCGCAGCGCCTTCTCACCTCTTGTGCCCGCATGCGCCCTGGCCTTCCTGCTGAGCACAGCTTCCCATGGCGTAGCAGCAGCGTGGCCGCATTGTCTACTCAGGCCAGAATGCCTCTGCCTGGGAAGGGCACTTTCCTTTATGGAAGGTGCGGCCCTGTTTCTGGCTGCGTGGGCCTGCGTGGGCCGCTTTCAAGTAGCTTCCAGTCGGACCCCAGTGTCTGCGCCCAGGCCTCTCTTTGCTGTTACGGGCCTGGGCCCTTTGCAGTTGGGCACGTCCAGGCTGCCCTCCCGGCTCCAAGTGTTTGCCGCATTCTCATTGGGTCGCGGTAGACGTGGGACGACAATGCTGCATTCTCATTGGCCCGCGGCATCTGTGTGATGTGTCGGCCTCCCACTGCGTGTGCCCAGGGCGCAACCACTTGAGCCCTGGGCTCAACTGTACATCGCAGCTGTTGCTTCTGGAAGGAGCCACAGAAGGCTCGCAATGTTCTGTAACCAACTGGCATGCGGAAACTGTCTGATTACCCACATACGAAAAATGTTGAAAATAGGCCTCTTGTCGATGTACAGGTCCTCCTTCACTTACGGCGGGCACGAGGATTGGTGGGGGCCACAGCACTGAAACATTTGCATGCCCAAGAAGGGCTGCGCGAGGGCTCATTCCTTGCAAATGAGTTTCCCGCCAAAAAAAAAAACAGGAACTGGTAGGGCCAAGAGGCCGGTAGGCTGGGAAGTCATCGGGCAAAGAGGCTGGAGCCGAAGTATATCTTTGGGAGCGGTGACCTGGCATGCCTCTTTTCTTCACTTCACGGCAGCAGTGCTGCTGGTTCGGGAGCTTGGCAGGTGTGCGCCAAGCAGCCTCATAGTGGAGAGATGCCGCTCACCCTGACTGTGGTGTTTAGGCCAAGGTGAGGTAGGAGAAGGACAGTGCAGCCTGGCGGCAGGTAGTAGAAGTGTCTGCCAGGCTATGGGGATGGAGGAGAGGGAGGAAGGAGGAAAAAGTAGGAGAGTGAAGGAGAAGACTTACCTTCTGGTATGGTGGACTGCATCTTTAATATTCTTTATCACCTTGGTTGACCCTGCTCCTGGAAGGCCCCTGAAGGGGGTATCAGTGGTTTGACGACTTCATCTACGACAGTAGGCTTGGTGACTGAAGTGGAAGGAGGCATGGAAGTTTTGCATTGTCCTTTGAACATTCGAGCTAGGCCATACCGATTACGAACGGAGGTGTAGGAGGTCAAAGGAGGGCTGTGTATGTCGCTGGCAGTAAGGGAGAGTAGCCGGACATTGGATTCTGGCTCTTTGATTCATTATTGTTGTTTATTAGTTACAATATGATGATGCTGGGGATGATGAAAGGAAGTTGATTGAGGTGAGATGAGGGAAAGTCAACAGTGGCTCCAACTTGTGTTTATCTTCTTTTTCCTCTTCATCTACTCTTCATTCTTCTTCCTCCCTCGACTTATTCTCCCACCAATCTCTTTCATTTGAGTTGCAATTAAATGGCATTGTCGCTTCGTGAGTATTTGCATTTGGTGCTGACCAGGATCATAACAAAGCGAGTGAGCAAGCAAAGTGGTTACAGTCAATCGGCGCAGTTTATGGCATTTTGTTAAAATGCAGTCAAATCTTCATGGGAAGGGAACACCAAACAACTTAGGGTCATGCCTTGCCGGTGCTATGTTTGTGCTTGATTAAACATGAAGCTGGCCATTTTATCTCCTACAAATCCATAACATAGATCCTGAAAGTGTGCAGACAATGCTGTTCAGTTAGATGCTGACGGTGTGAGGAAATGTTCCCAAGTTCACAACTGTTCCAATTGGCATGACAGCAGTTGGATGCATATGTGATGAGATGAACTCACTTGTAGTTGCTGAAATTCTATACTGCCTTCAGATGGCCAGTCTGGCGGTGGTCGACATTCTTGAACAATGGGGCTTGCCTCACTTGGAATCACCGTGTACCTGACAAGATCAGTTGCAATTGTCGCAAAGTCTGATAAATCAACATGAAAAAATTATTCGAAACCTGGCTCACTCAACACGCATCCACTGGCTTGTAGCCCTACGGACCAAATTCCATCCCCTGGATGAAATACCTGTCCATCAGGCCGGTTAGGATCCGAAGCATGCAGTGGCTTGTAGCCCACACATCTCTGCCCGTCAACCAATGGCTCCACAAGAGAAGGAAACATACGGATCCCGACCGCTCTGAAGTATGTGATATGTGCACAGACCCCACTGCCTCCTGTACTGCACTGAAGCAGCCTGGTGTACCAAGACTATCAAGAGAACGGAGGTGGCAAGGGAAGAAATGTGGGCCCTACTGTTGGGTATGGCGGAAACCGAGATCCGGTGCAGATGGAGGGAGATGACATCAACAGGCAAAGTCAGACCAGAAAGGCTAGCTACCAACAAAAGTTCTATCACGAGAGACTGGCTTCTACAAGGAAAGATTGCAACAGTGGCAGATAACAGATTGATCTGGAAGAAATGGCACAGCAAAACCCATCAAGGACGACGACCCAGTGATGGGCAAACTGAGACCATAGTCTCAACAATACAGACAACTCTCCTCTTTTCTTGTTGCATACGAATTATATGACAGAAGCACAATGGATTCTGAGAGGAAAAGTGGTAGCGCAAGCTGACAGTCAATTGTCCTGCATAGGAGCAACCAATGCTGATCAGGGTTCCTTCGGCCAGACAGAAGGAAGCGTGTACGTGTTCACCATGTACTCCAATTTTCCGCTTGCCCGTGGACAGGAACTGGACTGACGCTCCCCAGAATGGACAAGAAGCCAGGACCATAAGGACCTGCAAGGATTGCTGCGAGGACCATGCAAGGATTGCTGCTGAAATGCAATCAAGGAACTGCCACGGCTCAGTTTGCACGATTACCAGATGGAAAAAACGTATAGTCCAAAGGCAGAACCCAGTGTTTGCGGTTTCCTACGAACAAACCCTGATGAAAGAGAATTTCTGGGTACAATTCGACAACATTCAACCGGGCTTCCACGGCATGTTGGTCGACAGATTGGAAAGACAGTACACAGCAAACAGAATCCTGAAATGGATCTTACCGACACCAGAATTCCTGGCACCTCACTGCGGATCTATGACAGCGATTCTAGATGTTCAGACGGACGATCCCCCCATTTTCCCACCGGTTTGGAAATTCCAAATCGAGGAAAGGTTGATTGAAATAAGGATCTCGACCAGAACCTCTCCAATCTGTTTTCGCTGCAGAGAGAGAGGCCATCTGGGGACAGATCCCTCATGCCCCAAGTTTTCGAAACAAACAAAAGAACGGAAACTCCTACCAAACATGTTGGTGGAAGTGGAAGATGCACCTGGAATCTGGTTCGTGGCTGATTCATCATACGATGGTTGGGTTTTTGATGACAATCTGGACGAGCCAGACTGGGTGTGGCATTTTGGCGATCAGAATCCTTCTGTCAAAAAGCCAGACGTCTTCCCCCCAGCAGACAGTAGGTGGCAAAAGAAGGCAACCGGAAAAGTGAGAKGTAACCCGACAAAGATCAACACCAACCCCATCACAGATTCACGGGTTATCAGGGAGGAGAAAGCAAGAGAAGATCTATTGTGGGACCTTGACACCATCAGAGAACAGATTGAACAAGAATTCAATAAGGAACCCTCTGCTTTTAAGGAAGCACTGAAACAAGCAGAACAAGTGGATCTGCAAACATACATAAGGACCTGTTATTATATTAAAAAAAAAAGAGTCAGTCTCAGTACCGCCCTGTTTGGCACTCCTAGAGGGGCCAGAAGGAAACCCAAAACATTTTTTGTGGGGTCAGCATTAAACAACGGGAAATTAAAGACTTTTTTATGGTTGGCTTGGCCCCCTATCTGGACACCAGACCAGATAAGAGTTGTCTCCAATGAGTCCAATCTATAAGAAAAAATTTCAAAAAAAAGAATAATCAGAATCAGTCTCAGTACCGCTTTTTGCGCACATGTGATAGTATAGGGGCACACAACATAGCAGGACTACTACATTGTTGTTGAATTTATTCTAGGAGGTGCAAAGAGGGCTTATATTGTCAAGAGACTTCAGTCTTCAGTGTGTTGTTACTTCGGTGTGCTCTTGGCTTGTCATTTTGCCTTTAATCCAGCTTATTCATGATTGGACTTCTGTGAGCTTTTGCATCTCAAAACTTTTAGTTCTCAGTGGCCGGTTCCTTGCATTTAAAAAGAAACAGAGAAAAAAATCAAGGCCCATAGGAGGTGTACCCACTGTTTGATTCGTTCGACAGAAACCATCTTGTTCTCCAACTGGCATGTGCTAAGGACAAGAAAGCAGACGCACGTACTGAGGGTAAGCCCATAAGAGAGTGATATGCCCACCATACCTGCATCATACACAAACAGGACATTCTGGGTGAGGAGTGTCTTTGGTAGGTAGTGTGTGAGCAAGAGTCAAGACTGAGGGGGAGGGGGGGGTAACAGATGGCACCAGATGGCATCTCTCAGAACACAGGAGGGCTGCAGCAATGGACGCCTCTCAACAGACCAGCACACAGCACAATGATTAATAACCAAGCCAGATACCACATCCCTGCACTTTCTCCTTTGACAAAGTTCCCTCCTGTTCTCATCCCTGAATGGCTTCATTCATACAACACTCAACCTCCAAGAGTCTCCATAGGCATGCAATACAGGACCCATAGGATAAGTGAGAACAGACTCAGGAAGGAAAAAAAGAAACAGAGCTTACGGCCATGATTCCATCACCGCGGCTATATCGGTCAGGTTTCCTCGCAGCTAGATAGTCAGGGGCAAAACACGAAAAAAAGTGAACGATACAATAAGCCATAAACATAAACTATGTCATCAAAACACACTCTCTTCTCAAACTCGAGTTCCAGCATGAGTGTGAATTGGGGGACCTGATGGTTTGACTAGAACTAAAACCAAGATTAAGAAACACACTACACGCTGGCCAGCCATTCATGCCTTACAAAGACCCAAGGAATAGAGTTCAAAACCAGGAGAGAGGCACAACAGCACCCAAATAGCACGGGCTCTTGATGCACAGGTCAGGACCTTTTCTTGGTGAAGAAAGGGAATTATAACGGGCATTCAAGTGATGTCTCACCAGGGTTGATGGCGTGCTGAGCAGGTGCTGTGAGCAGCATCGCTGTCACAGTGAGGATGAACGCTGCAATCAACTCCAGCCGGAGTCCCAGCCACTCGTTTGCCGCCAAATTATGAAAATTTGCCCGCAAATTGTCATCTATTCTTTGCAAATTCTCCCCTGCAAATCGTTCTTCTTGTCTGAAGGCCCGAATGGAGACAGCGCCAGCAAGTGTTTCCGCAAAGTGGTGGATGATAGGTGACTTTGTGATTGCCTCCAGCCGAGTCAATTCGCGGGAACTTGAAAGGAAGTATCTCTGATAGCATGCAACAGCAGCCAAACACGGTCAGAATGAACGAACAGAACGGAACATGCATTCTGCGTCTAACTTCCATGACATCTTACTGCGAAGCTATGAACATATGAGATGTGGAGAGGAGGCCTCTTGATGGCATGCTACTGACTAACTCATACCGAAGCTCGGTGCATTTGAACCTGAAGAAGGCTATCTAATTAAACAGATGTCGTTCATAGTCAAGAAGTTGCCAAGCACGCAGGAAGAGGAGAAAAATATGGAATCGCCGTTCCCTTTATCCCATAGTTGAGCACATAAGACACTGATAAACAGATCCTGATGGTACACATGTAACTACCAATAAACAGATCCTCATGGATACAATAACCTTAGGTGCTAAAACCCCATTTTCTCCCTTTTAAACAGAGCCTTATGGTTCTGGCTCCATTCCCATTCTGGGGAGCATTGGTCCGGTTCCACCGGCAAGTCAAAAGAGCAGTACAGTTTGTACACACCCAATGCTCCTCCTCGTTATGGTTGGGAGGCCCAAGTGGACAGCATTGATTACTTCCCCTAGGAAGATTGTACCACCCCTCACCCCTGCCTGATCTGGCCTCATTGACTTATTTCTGAAGCCCAGGGACTTCACTTCTTGGTTGGCCTCTTGTTTGTAGCATTGATTGGGGATCTGCCTCGTACTTGCTCCTCTCAGCTGCTGGGCCGTCGGATACTCTTGAATAACTAGAGCTGTACAATGCTTTCTATTTCCTCACTTTCCTTCCTCGATGAGCCCTGCTTCTACCTTGTCCCACAGCCTAGTCGTGGTTTATAACTATCTTTCGAGAATTCTGTATAAAGTTACTATAAACCCTAAACCCTAAACCCTAGGCTGTCTATGGCTTATCGTACTCCATTGAGTCTATGAATGCTCGCTGTACGGAGAGTGTGCTACTCGCAGACGGCATTAGGAGGTTGGAGGCAAAAGCGGAGCCAGGTTAGAGTGTGGGTGCCTTGAGTTGATTGACTGCAGCAGACCGTACAGGTGATGTATCTTTTCTTTCTGACCATGTAATGGTGACGGGAGAGAGGACTGGGAGAGGAGGAAAAGAAGCGAATGAAGAGCATAAGGGACGTGGAGAAACACTAAGGGAAGAGGGCAGAAGGAAGAGGTGGTCTGGATCATGCAGTCAGCATCAAATGAGAGATTCATCCACAGGGTGGGGATAGGGAGGTGCGGCATCTTGGAAAGGGAGGAGGAGGAGGAGCCAACGTTCTCTCAAAGTTTCTTTCTTTGAAGGAGCTAAGTGCGATATTGATGTCATCAACATAGTTAAGTACCCGAATGTTCTGAGCCTGGCAGAAGAGTTCTGTATGTTGAGCTACCCCGGTAAGGTCGTTTTGGCTGGGCTTGACGTGAAGGAACACCCGGCTGTAAGGCACGACAACACCTGTGTCCGGAGATTGGAAGCTGGACTGGGGGGTAATCTGGCCTGCGGGGTTAGCATCCCTGGTAAGCGAATCGGCATCTGATGACTCGTCGGAGAGCGGTGTGTTCCCTGGCCTGGAAGACAAAATTTGTGGCGCGGCGTTAAGTGCCACGAAATCTGGAAATTCATGGATGCAGTGGCAATTTAGTGCCGGGGGGGCGCCTGCGCTCGTAGGATGGTAAGGGCTGAGAGAAGTAATATGCCTTGGTACGACTCTGGGCAAGGAAGTGAGCGTTGGGAGCATTTTTTGACATGTCCCCCCCCCCTGCTAACTTGGATGCGCCTGCAGTGCGGCAAGTGGCGTATGAACCTGGACTTGGACCCAGGATGGAGGGACACACTGTACCAGGGCGATTTTGCTGACCTCACTCGGACGCAGAGTCTGTTTTTCATTTGTCGTCCATGAGGGTATGAACTGCGTTTTTTTAGCAGTGAAGTGAGGTGGTGTGAATAGCATAGATAATGGGAACAGTATTTAATAGCTACGTAGGCAATTTCCTCAATCTGGGTGGCGTATGAGTAGAACGGTCGAGTATCCTTGATGGCGTTATGATCAAGGAGCGTCGGGAAGGAGGTGATGGCGCCATGACAAGTAAAACTCATTATGGCCTCATTCTACTCCATGTGATCCAAAGCTTCTGATCATTATGTCAGAGAAACACCGAGCATCAAGCGAACCAAAGATTGTAGCAAAATGCTCAACACAAAAGAGCTGATTACACAATTGATGAAACAGTAGAACTGAAACCTCTCAGGAGACAATTGGGAAAACATCACATGAATACAGAGGCCTTGAGTCAGTCTGTACAGCAGAGAAAGGCTTCAAAGGATTGATGCACCTCCAGTTAGTTATATGCACTGTAACCCAGAAACCTACCCATAAAAAATCACGTGTACGGGTAGTTTCACAACTATCGCAGTCCTGCCCACCATCGTTATCATCATCAGCATCATCATCGTTATCATCGTATCATCATCATCATCATCATCATCATCATCATCATCATCGTCACCATTGTTATAATTTGTTACCATCGTTATCGTTATCATGATCATCATCATCATTGCATATGAAGTCTCTCGCCCACTGACCTGATACATGACATATACAATAGTAACTGGAGTGATGAGCAATATGAGCCGTGGAGTGATTGCAATTGCGACTGCCATGATTCCCAGAAGCTGGAATGATGTCGCGAGCACACTGCCAAACCGGACGGGTAAATCTGAATCCAGCATGCTCTGGTCGGTTGATGCCTGCAATCATACAACTGCATTAGCCATTGTCCTCCCTTTTTCCTCTTTTTGTTTTTCCTTTCAGACATGACCTGTGGTCTTCTAGGGGGCAGTAATTAGCCCGTCGTATGCTTAACAGTATTTAATTCCCTTGCAGCCTCCATTCCTTGTTCTTCTTCACTGTTCTTCACTCCTTGTTCCTCCTTACTTGTCTTCTACTGAGACATGCGGGCCTTGGGGAAGGAGATGAAGAGAAACAATAGAGGAGGAGAGAAGATGACATGGAAGAAAAGGAAAAGAGACCAAGAAAGGTAACAGCTAAGAGGAGGCAAGATGGAGAAAACAAAGAGGAAAAGAAAATAGAGAAAAGACAAGATGTAAAACAAGGACAGAGAGAGAAAAAGGAAACGGTCGCGGAGGACCATGCCCCCCCCAACGTTCTTAGGGAACACCAATGTGGGGCACCTTTTGGGTTTGGGATGCTCGAAACAATCCTGTATTTTTTTTTTTTTTTTTGAAGAAAATGCAAGGAAAATAGGCAACAGCGAGATGACAATCCAGACCACACCATCACATTGAGAGCCAAACAGTCACACCGTGTCCATAGAGCAGCATTGCACCAATATTACACCAATGGAGGTTCATAGCACTGAAAAACCAATGTACATGGAGAGCATACTCTCTCCCTTCAACACAAGAGTCCAGTTCCTCAACCCTCACACTTGGCGCTCAGCGCCCAACCTACTCCTACACAGCTACTACAGACTACAAAAAGACAATGCAACTGTTGACATCAGCAGCAGTCCGAAGTACTTGAAGATGCCGCCCATGCAGACCATCACCAATACAAGGTACGTGCCCTCACATCATCATCATCATCATCATCCTTCACCTATCCCCTGACTTCACCCACACCTGTCCTCTCTGTCACCCGAAGACCACCCCTGCGCCTCACTATAGTCCAAGCCCACCAGCTATGGTGGCTGGGCTATGGCGCTGCCCTCAGCAGCGCCCTCCTCCTCTGCACGACCGCACGTGTTGCACCCCGCCTCCCAGCGCTAGCAGCAGCCTACGAGCATAAGCTCCAGCAGCGCTGTCGAGCGCATCAGCCCTCGCGTGAAAACGAGGGCCCTCCCGACCATGTCACGCAAGAGTTTACCTAAAACATAACTTTTAGAGACAATTCGGGAACGACGCATACTGTTTCATGAACCACCGAGACGGACGCGGTTGCTTCGCTCCTTCGCCGCTCTAGCCGGGTGCGCCAGCTATACATCCCACGGTCCCCTACGACAGGACAGGTTCCCGCGGGGCATAAGCTTGCTTCCGTAAGGGGCTGTCACCACCCTTAGGGGCGTATCCCTACCGAGCTACTGATCCACGTGAAGGCTTTTATGTGCAATCACAGAGGTAGATCAGCCGAGGGCGTTTGCTCGTCTCGCTGCAGTATAGGAATTGTTTGACTAAACACCGAATGAACCCGTGCGTCGTTCGTTCCCTTGGGCGCTGATCTCCCTAGTACGAAACATACGCCGGTTGACTAGGACAGTCTCAACCAAACGTGAAAACGATCCTTAGTTCCTAGCAATCAAACAACAAAATCCTCATACTTAAAACAAAATCACACAATCCAAATCGTTGACTTGATGAGCTGGTCTGCCAAAATGTCTCTTTTTCAACCGTTATGACTGAAAGAACTTTTATATTGTCGTTCCGAGATTATTAATTTAAAGAAATAAACTAACACTGATTTTCCTATCATGACTACTGAAACTTGTCATAAATAACTCCTTCAAGTAAATACCACTGGCACCATGTAGATCAACAAGTGATATGGTTCCTGATCGATGTTTGAACTTTTGGTTCTACCACATTTCCGTACCATATACAACTACGTGGAGGAGCGAGTGACAACTTTGTTGGTCGCTTTGTCCTCCTGGACAATAATTACTCTTTCTGTTCCACGAAGGATGAAATATCCAACTCTAACACCAAGTTACGCAACGCAGAAATATTTAATCTTTCGCTGCCTTGCTTGACAACTTTTTTAGACGTTCGCTTTTCACTTTATCCAGCTTGTTTTTATGCGAACGATTACCCCTCAATGCATAAGCATGATAGTGAAATCATCGGGGTTATCCGAATACTATCCATCCGGCGGTCCTARCTACATAAAGTGTTTTGTTTTTGTTTTTAGATTACCTCGTGACACCATAAGTTATATGGTTTCCTCAACGGGACTGAGTCCATGAAAAGTGTTTTCTGAAATCTGAGTGAGATTTCAGAAGACGACGTCTAATCCTGGTAAATATCTCGCCCGCCGCGCACCTGTGTCTCCAATAAATCCAAACGTGCCAGCTCATCGCCGTCGAAAATCAAAGTAGACCTTCGTCCACATCGCGTGACTCTAACAATCCGAGTATTATAGAAGGAGGTCATCCGAGAGGCTAGTCTCCAAACTATAACGCGGAGAGGTCGACTAAGTCCAAACAGATGTCAAGTCTCTGTGTCCTGGATCTGGACGACGCCGAAACGCCTACCGGACGAGGTAATCTTGATACTCACAATGACTCGAGAGAGGCATTGGAGGTTACTCGCGCGGTGGAAATACAAAGTATATCCGTAAAGCTCGTCGGGAGTCCGAGCCGTGTTGGCTCGGAAATCTGCGCGAGTAGTAGGGAAAAATCCCTCGTCATTTTGAAGCAGTCCGATGAAGCCGAGCCAGTCGATAGAAGATCCATCCCGTACTCGTAAAAGTCGTCCCGCACTCCTGATGAGATCCTCCTCGTGTGTATCACGAACCAGCAGATACCTCGGGATCGTCAAGTCTCGTCGTGCTCCAGGCATCAACTTATCAGAACGAATTCAAATTAGTTACGTAAAAACTCCTCGAGTTCTTCCGCTTCATTTTCCAATTCATCGTCATATAATGCATCAGCCCCTATTATTGCGTACCTATTGGCACGTATCCGCTCCGCGTAGTATATGCCAAAAAATGGGCCTTGTCGCTCGTTCAGCCAAAGCACGTAACGGACGTACATCAACCTTATTTCAGGGATTTCGTCCACTCGTGTGTTGATTTCATAAGGCTGCAACACCACCAGGTTCATATTGACGAAGTGACGCTCAGGCAGTGGCGGTGCGAACTCGTAATGAAGAATATCCAGGCCGTTATCACTTCGGAAAACAAGTCGTCTGGAGGGTCTTTGCGCGCTACCACCCCAAAATTGCGGAACGTCCTCCTCAGAATATAATTCTGACGGATTATAAATAAGTTGGCCTACCCTTTCTACCTTCACTCCATCACGCCTTTGGAATTCAACTCTCTCTGCTGCCGCATCACGATTGTTGAAAATGAATAGTTTCGTGGTTCCCATAACCATCTGAAAGAAAAAGAAGACAAATGTGATTAAGTTAAAACTAAGTATCACTAAAACATTTGTCTTCCTTCTGGCCCGTGCTTCTTATGGCACGACCAACCTCGTCAGGAGTATCTAAAGGTACTCCGTTCAGCTAGTGAAACATGAGTCGGGTTGCTTGTGGCGCCAACTCTCCATACGTTAGTGGTACCTAGGGTGACCACTTAAACAGGATTGCTAAGGCAGTTTTCTTTTTTCGCAAGGCGTCAAGAAATAATTTTCTTCCGTGTGGATGCCTTTTCCATTACCCTAAGAGGTGGTCTGGGATACTCCTCCTCGCCCGAGTACAAAACTCGGATCTCAGAAGTCGGGCCGTCTCCACCGAATCGGCATAGTATCCCCCCGCAAGGCGGTCCACTCTGAGTCGATAACAAGGTCAGCCCCTAAGGCAACGAACCCCCGCCCAAGATGCCTCCTAGACAAATGGAAAGACACCTACACGGCAGACAAGTAGAATCTTGCCGCCTAGCGCCAAAATTAAACTTAGACGAAGAAAGAGGAATCGTAGAAAGATAACATCATTCACTCTGACAGGCATAGATAGAAGAGGATTATTTGGGAAAGAATGGGTAACCTCAGGAATAAGTCTAAACCAAGTTGAACTTCTCTTCCTTATGCTCGCTTCGTTTCTCGTCGTCTTCCTTTTCTTTTATTTATAAATAGAACATAAGCACAAAGAAAAGTCAACCATTCTTTCACCGTCATCACCCTTATCCATTTCAGTCCATTTGTCGTACCTGCAGTCAAAACCCAACGACACACAGACCACCATGCAATCCTTTTCTATTGTCAGACTCCTTGTCATACACGCAAACGCACACATTCTCTTTCCTTTTCAATGAATATTCAGTAAAACAGGTCAAAGCAAGTGTGGGTTCACTCAGGTGTGAAGGGGACTGAGTCAATTTAACTGACTGACTGACTGACTGACTGACCTTGAGCGAAGTTTGACTGAAGATAATAGCGGCCCACTCAAGAAAAGTCGTATAAAAATTATGCTCCTCTGTCAGTGACAGTTGTCTTCAGTCGTCGACAAATAATCCACACTCCTCCTTTTACCACAACCACCTGCCACAACGCCTCCTCACTATCTTTTAATAAGCATCGCCGCCACTGATTTTCACTGCCACCACGTCACCACGCCATCAAAACTCACGCCACTTCTGATCCCCCACTCCAGCGGCACCTCCCCTATACCAAGGTTTAACTGCCGCTCAATGTAGAAATATTACCGCCTGTAACCTTGCTTCGCCGCCGTAAAATTTTTGCAGCGCTCCCGCACCACGACTGGTTAAACCCGGGTCACCGTCGATAAGATTCTGACTGCGCTACCGCACCCCCGCCGATAAAACCAGAACTGCCGCCTCGAAAATCCGGCAACGCTCTCGCACCACCGTTGAAAAAGTCGGTGCCGCCGTTGCAGAATTTCGGCAGCACTTCCGTACTACCGCAATAAAAAGTTGGTGCCGCCACTGCAGAATTTCAGCAGCATTTCACCACTACCGCAGTAAAAAGTTGGTACTACCGCAGTAAAAAGTTGGTGCCGCCGCAGCAAAATTTCGGCAACACTCTCGTACTACTGCAGTAATAGCCTGTGCCCCTGCCGTAGTACCACAGTGCCACTGGGCCTGTCCCGTGGGACCAGCACCAGCCAAAGGGGAAGGGAGCAGAGTGCTCCCT